TAAAAGAAGATTAGTCAATGAAATGCATATCTTGGATCCTAGGATATGCTATTTCCAATGCCTGGCAGTCATAAACCTTGAATCCTTGTAGCTTGATTGTCTGGCTTGACAAAGACAACTTGGGTAAAATTATAGGAAAAGTTCATTTTTATACCTCCTCACTTACCTCATGTGTTCCCTCTCAAAGAAGGCATTTCCTCATAAGTACCCTGAGCCCTTATTTAATCACTCAGTCGACAAACATTTGTGTAAAAGAATTACTATGGCATGATACCATAAGCTAAAAACATAGACCTGGATATGATGTGGTTTTGCCCTCAAAGAGCTAGAGTTTATTGAGGAGAAAGAACTGAGTAATCAGAATAAGTAAAGTGTAATGTGTCAGGGGAAGATGGAGAATCTCTCTCTGCCCTTTTCCTTAAGGTTCTTATGGCTGGCCAAATAATTAACAAGACAGGTTAGCAGGAGAAAATAATACCAAGTTTAATAACATGTATACACAGGAGAAAGCAGGGACACTGCGTTTCTCAACACAATAGCAGAAATTCTCGTCTTAAATACCATGTCCAACCAAAGACAAGGAGGATGTTGGGGGTGGGGGGGTGTCAGTTACAGGAGATTATCACTAAAGCACTGTAAACAAGAGTAAGGTTATTATGCAGATTTAAGGGCTCACCTTCCACATTGATAAGTCTCTAGAAATGAGGTCATCCCCCCTCTTCCCAATACAGAGAGGGAGATACTTTTACAAATGGAGACTTCCCTTGTAAATGATTGTCTGGTAACTCCTCGCAGGGCCAGCCAGAGCATGCGGCCAGAGAGACAGAACTTCCGATAAGATGGGCTTGTTGGTGCCTTTTCTATTGTAACCTCTACCCTACATTATCTTTATAGCCGTCATGATAATAACTCCTTCCTGAAACAGATCTTTTGTTTTAAATTCTTTAGGCAGTTTGGGAGGGGAAACTCAAATATTTTTCCTGAGCTCTCTGAGTCCTTATTGTCTTCAGCTCGAAATAATCCGCATACCAGAGTGATGCTTCCTGGGGTAGCTTGCCCTGAGCACCATCAAATGCATTGTAACGGAAAGGATAAAAGTAGGGAAAAGTGATTTGGCAAAAAATCCAGAATACCCTCTGAAGGAGACAATACTTCAACTGAAATTTGAGAAAGAATTATAATAACAACAAATGAGGTGAAAAGGAAGAGCATTCTACTGAGAGGAAATAGTATGGATGATGATGGAGAGTGAAGCAGCATTATACATTTGGGAAACTGCTAGTATTTCTTTACAGCTGAATCAAAAATAATTGTGGCAGTAACAGAAACTGAGACTTAAGACATAAGAAGGAAGAGACAATGAAGAGCTTAAATGATAAACTTGATTACTTTTAAATGCATCTGATGTAAATGAAGAAGCATGAAGAATTTTAAAGAGGAAAGTGACATGATCTATGTTGCCATTTAACAAGTTGACTCTAGCATCATTGTGGAGTCTGAGACAGTTAGCATCTTTTTTTTGCTCTAATCTGAATAATAATAATGACAATAATAATGTAGGTCCAAACTAAGGGTGTTGGGAATAGAGAAAATGAGTTGGAGAGAGAACTTGAGAAAAGAAGACAAAAAAAAAAGAAGAGTAAATGATGAGAAAAGAGCAGGGATGAGCAAGAGGGATATGAGTCAACACTGATCACCAGATTCTGCCTTAGGAAACTAGGTTGATAATAGAGACATTTTCCAAGGTGGGAAATATTGGAAGTTAAGCCAATTCTATGTGTGGAACCATAGAGGAGTGTTAAAAAAAATTAGTTTTAATAATTGGTTTAAGGTGCTATGAGACACCGAAGCAGAGATTTCAATTAGGCAGTTATATGGAGAGGTAGAGCATGAGAGATTGGGACTGCGAATATATTTTGGGATATTTAAATATACTTGGGATTTGAATGAGTTTATCTTGGAAGAATTTATAGTAGGAGATAAACAGAAGGGCAAAGACACTACCTTAAACATTAGGAATATTTGCAGGTTGGGCAGAAGAGTCGGACTCATGACCAAGTTTGAGAAGATCCCAAGGAGTTAGGAGGAAAACCAAAAGAGTGCTTTTATATAAACCAAAGTTAAGAGTTTGAAGAAAGAGAAAATGGTCAAAAGTATCATAATCTACAGAGAGATTTAAGACAAAAAAAGACCTTTGGCTTTGACAATGTAGAAGTGAATGTTGATTTTACAAAGAGTGATTTGGTAGAACATGGAAACAGAAGCCAGGTCCAGGAAGGAATAGCCAGTGAGGACATAGGGAAAACCTGGATGATTGCTTGAAGAAGCTTCTGCGGAAGGAAAAGGAAGAGATTCTAGAATAGCTAGAGGGGATTGTGATTTAGATGGCAGAACCTGGGGGATGTTTATGTGTTAAGAGTGAGTAGATGAATAGGAAAGCCTGAGTTGACAATTCAGGAGAGAGTGAATGCTGTTCTGAGAGGCAGCAGCGGATGGAATCCATATCAGCGGAAGATGACTTTTCAGGAGGAAGGGCAGGTCGTCCACAGGTAAGAGGAAACATGCAAGTTATATTTTCGGATGATAGGACTAGAATTTGAAAAGTCCTTAATTACCCTAAATAGCTTTATATCACTAAGCAATACATACTATTTATGAGTTCACGATATGGGTCTGGTGACTGAACATGACTTTCCTAGGAAGTTTTTGCATTTTATAAGAGGGATAATTGTGAAACACTGTGCATTTAGAAAGAGAGGAGATTTGGAGAGTAAGGTAAAAATGTTTATCGTGTGTTTTATATATGCTATCTCATTTGATATTCACACTAATCTTCTATTTATTCCAGTTTAAGAAAAGAGAAAAATGAGCCTCAGAAATCTTTAGTATTTTGTCTGAAGTCACGGAATTAGTAAACACTCTTGTTCAATTTTTGTTGTCTTTGTTTCTTTGTCTGACCTCAAAGCTTATTCTCCCACTACCAAGTATACCAATTAGCTCTTAAATTCCTCAACTCACGCTAGGAAGTCAATCATTGTCTCCATTTGCAAAGGGCACCAGCCATGGATCTTTCATTGTAAATTCAGCTTGGATTATTCCAAAGTAATATTGTCCTTCAGGTACAGGGAAAGAGATCCAGAGTCCAAAGGTGTTTTATAGTCTTAAATAATTTACTGGTCTTAGGAACTGACAGAAAAGTTCAATTAAATGCCAATATTTCTAAAGTAACAATTTACTTTGAGAAAAAAGGGTATTAATTTCCTTTTCCAATTGGTTATCATTGCACGAAAACCAAAAATAACAATCAATATATCACCTATCAATCCAAACCTTCACCAGGTTCTACACAACTTTACTAACTTCTGTAATCCAGGGTCATTCAAATGCCTTTATTCTTGACCTGAAAGATCCTAATACCAGGTTTTACTCTGTGAAAACTTTTTAACTTTTGAGAAGTATCTGATTGTTTATGTAAATACTGATCAAAAATGGACTTTTAAAGAATCTTTAAACATATCATATTTCTGAAAAGTAGGGGAAGGTAAGAGCAAGGCCAAATGGTGTGTTACCCTTCCCCTGCCATATTTCATTTGGGGAAAATATAACTGACAGATCATCATAATAAAAATAAATAAAAACAGTGATAATTCTTGTTTTCTTTTAAATCATATAAACCATAAAAAAAATGAAGTGCCAGGTTATATAATTTCAAAAAGTAATTTACGATGTTCTTAACTAGAAGTCTTGGAAAAGATTTCCTAAAACAGATCTGGGGCTCTGGGTAAGCAATCTGAACAGATAATATAAAATAAGAAATAATTCACCAGTTTTTAGTTGTGTCTATTCATACGGCAGTAGAATCATATAATAGTCCCCATTTCTTATAATCCTACAATGAATACTATTCCGGATTACTCTCAAGGTTGGAGGAATATATTTTTAGAGTTCTTCCCACGCCAGGACACGTATGTCTAAGAAACTCATCTCAGTTCTCCCAGATTCTTTCCACAGTAGCTATTGCACAGTGTTTTAGATTCAAAAACAAACTGTTCTATCCTCATTCATATATTTTCCTTGCTTCTGTTTCTCTTGTTCTTCCAGGATGCCGCAAGCAGTTTCTGAGCATCTCTGACCTTAACAAATGACTGTGAAAAAAATAAACGGGTATACAAAAGTATGGGTTTTTACACATCTTAATGAAGTTGTAGAAAAATTGCCTATTGCTCTACTTTCTTATCATCATTTTCATTTGACACTCTGGCACTATTAGGACAGTCACTCTCGGATTTGTCTTCAAGTGTTGTCCATCTGCTGACTGTCAGCGCAGGAGGCTACGTAGAAACTATAGCCCAAGGCAACACAACTCAGACGACAGTGTCCCTGGAAGATCTGAAGTCACAGCACCTCATTAGTGGCCTCAGACTGTTGTGCTTCACGTGTCCCCTGGGCCTAGTAGCACAGACCTTGGGACCATCCAAGTACTACAAGTTGCAAAAAGGAATCTACTTTTGGAGAGAGGCTGGTCTTATTAGCTTTGTCATCTGGATGTTCTTAAAATAAACTGATAGCAGAGGCATCACAAAAAACTTCATTAGTCCACCCTGATCTTTTCCTCCTGAGGAATGTGCTTCTGAATTCTTTTTTTTTTCATATTGCCTGTTTCACTCCAGTATTTATTTTATTTTCCCTGCATGCGGTAAGGTCAGAGTAGGAAAAGATGTCACCTCATACTTTATACCCTGAACATTGCTCATTTTTGCTTCCTTTCTGTTTCATACTCACATTTTTATTCCACTCATCACTATATTAACCAGTTGTCTTTAATCATGTTTTCTCTTCGAAGGAAAATTAGCTCAACTTTAATTACAAATCTGCCTGAAAAAATACCCACAATCTCACTTATTCCATAAGACAGCATTTTCAGAGCTCATTTTGAAACTGGGTACCTGAGGGTTATTGTGAATATTCAATAAGAACACGGTTACCCTTCAACATTGTTTCCAACACATCCACAGATGAAAAGAAGTTAGTACCCACGTAAATCCTCGATAAATAACCTTAGTCCCTGTAAGATGTATTCTTTGAGACCAAATGCTTGTTTCACAGCCCACACATCATTATAGCTTGTTAATTTGCTGTCTTCTTGTTTAACCAGAAGGGTGACTCAGGGATCACAAGGATATATGAGCTTGTTTTGCAGAAGAAAAAGAATGCCTTTAAGAAACCAGATAACCAGCCCCCAACTGCTGCTGATGCCAAAAAGTCTGGTTGCCCAAGCCTCTTAGCTCTATAAAGACCCTTTGCTTTCTTCTTTCGTTAAGGCAGATTTGAGAGAACCTATCCTCCCGCCTACTCGTTTTAACCAATTTGAATAAACCTTTCTCTACCTCTAAGCGCCAATGTCTCAGTCATTGGCTTACTGTCCATGGGGCACACGAACTTGAGATTAAGAGATTTGCTATCAACTTCACTTGACTGGTAGTTTTAGAGTGTCATCTGTTACACTTACATTAAGGTAACATAAATGAGGGAGCTTTCTGGTACAGATGGCTTCTGAGCCCGTATCAGTAACTTTCTAACAGACTATTATTTTATATCTTCATGATCTACAAATAAGATTGAGCTAAATTAGTACTCTTGAAGAGAAACTATTTTTAAATATATAAAGGCCATTTGTTGGGTGTCAGCATCAAAAGGTAAAAAAAACAAAATGGTATATCTGACCCAACACTTCCATTCTGTCATCCTGGCTCCAGAGTAGAACACTTTAATGAATCTGCTTTATCTTCTTAGAGGTTACATAAACTTATAGCACTGATGTTTTCATGTCTTCTATATCATGGCCAAACAAGTGAGGTTATGAGTCAGAAGTTCAAGGTAAGGGTACAGGTCTGCTGTGATTTGGCTTCAGATGGTTTTCTCTGCTGCTTCCCACCAGTTTTGTCTGTCTAAATAAATCTAGCTTCTATTTGATGCCTTACTCACACGGATGCTACTTCGGATTTGGGGCAGTCATTGGCTTATTTCTTCTGAAAACTCAGGCAACGCATTTGGATTCTAACTATTCCTAGATCAATTAGATCTAGAAAAAAAAAACTTTAATGAAGAATAACATTATTTTGGCTATTGACCTGGTAATACTCTAGAGAAAATATTTTCATGTTTCTGTCTGATTTTCTGGAACTTGGGTTAAAGGATAAGCCTTAAAATTTAAAGAATGATTGAATAGCCACAGACAATGGGAGAGATTTAGAGTCCATTTGTTTACAATTCAAATGGGGAATGAAACTTTGATCTGCAAAATTTAATATTTACATATCAAAGGACCATAAAGGACTAGAGAGCAAAGGTTTCTCTTCCTCCCTCAGGAAGGTAAGAGCACAGCAGGTAGACTATAGGAACTGGCAGATTCATAATTTCAGTGTTCTTCTTCTGCAGTACAGATCCCTGTACTTATTGCTTTAAGTGATAATAAGTCTTATATCCAAAAAGCTTTATGTTTGCTTTCAGGGTAATATAAATAAATATAGATGTTAAAAACTCATCAGACCTCTAAAAAGTTATCTTTTAATTTATGATTCATCTTGAGCCAAATATATTCGGTATCAGTTGATTTTTAAGAAAAACAGATATGGTGGGGCCGGTCCAGTGGCACAAGCAGTTAAGCACCACTGGTTAAGTGCGCACACTCCACTGCGGCGGCCTGGGGTTCGCCAGTTCGGATCCCAGGCGCACACCGATGCACCTCTTGGCAAGCCATGCTGTGGCGGCGTCCCATATAAAGTGGAGGAAGATGGGCATGGATGTTAGCCCAGGGCCAGTCTTCCTCAGCAAAAAAAGAGGAGGATTGGTAGATGTTAGCACAGGGCTGATCTTCCTCACAAAAAAAAAAAAAAAAAAAAAAAAGAAAAGCAGTTATGGTAAAAATATTTAGGTTAGGAAAATTCACATATGAAGATCAACATCCTCTTTATGTTTTTGATATATGCCTCAAGGTTAAAAATCAGAAAGAGAAATTTAAGAGTTTCATCTTCCGTTTCCCAGTTCTATAGAAAAATAAAGAAAATTTTTGCCAATAATCATCACCACAAGTTCACAGATTAAAAACATATTATCTTACACCTATCAGAAGAGCCCAAATCCAAAACACTGACAGCACCAAATGCTAGCAAGGATTTGGAGCAACAGGAACTCTCGTTCATTGCTGATGGGAATGCAAAATGGTACAGTCACTTTGGAAAACAGTTTGACAGTTTCTTACAAAACTAAACAAACTCTTACTGTATGATGCAGCAACTGTGTTCTTTGGTATTTAGCCAAAAGAGTTGAAAACTTTTGTCTACACAAAAAAACTGCATATGGATGTTTATAGTAGCTTTATTCATAATTGCCAAAACTTGGAAGAACTAAGACGTCCTTCAGTAAGTAAGCGGATAAATAAACCGTGGTACATCCAGACAATGCAATATTATTCAGTGCTCAGAAAAAATGAGCCATCTCACTTCTTTCCTCATGAAAAGACATGGGGAACCTTAAATGCATATTACTAAGCAATATACATTGCAAAGAAGCCAACCTGAAAAGGCTATATAGTATATGATTCCAACTAAACGACATTCTGAAAAAGGAAAAACTATAGAGACAGTAAAAAGGTAAGTGGTTGCCAGGGATTGTGGGGAGGGAGGGATGAATCTGTGGAGTACAGAGGACTTTTAGGGCAATGAAACTATTCTTATGATACTGTAATGGTGGATACATGTCATTATACATTTGTCAAAACTCTAGAATGTATAACACCAAGAGTGAAGCGTAATGTAAACTATGGACTTTGGATGATAATGATTTGTTGATGTAGGTTCATCAGTTGTAACAATAAACCACTTGGGTACAAGAAATTAATAGTGGGGGAGGTTGTGCATGTGTAAGGGCAGGAGTATAAGGGAAATTTCTGCACCTGCTCCTCAATTTTGCTATGAACCTAAAACTACTCTAAAAAATAAAGTCTACTTAAAAAAAAATCTGACAGCTGTCTAGTTCATTCATTTATTCAGCAAGGAAGACTGTAAGGATTACGTACTATGTGCCAGGTACAATGCCCCCTGCCCTTGAGGAACTGATACTCTAAAGCAGGGGAAAAAACAAGGGAGATGAATTGTGATAATTGTTATTTTAGGAAAAAAATACGAGATATTCTACAGAAGACAGTCTCCAAAATTCATAACCATAATGATCAAAAGTTACATGATGAAATCCTCTCTCTCTGCAGCTGTTCTTTGAAATTACCCCTCTGAAACAGAAAATATCACATCACATCTGATGGTTAAATGTAGAGTGGAGTGTATACATTGATAATAAGTTTTATACTGATACATTATAGAGCTTTCTACCCATAAGAGAAACGGTGATTGGATGTGGGGATATAAAATTAAATACCTGTGTTCCAGATTAAAATCTTAAACTGTGATACCCTTTCAGAATGGAAATTTTAGTCACACAAGTAATTTGTTTATAATCTGACTTGGAATTACATTGCTCATAATCTATGGAAAACTAATTTTCCTTCCTTTAGTTTTTGGTTACAAAATCTATAAACATATTTGTAAAAAATTTTGTAAAATATTTTGTAAAAAAAATTTGTAAAAGTTTTGTCAGTACTGGAAAATATTACATTAGTCAGTAATTTACTAGACTTTATAATGAGTTTCTATTACCCAAATACTAATGTAACCTGGAGATAAAATAATGGGGAAAATAGTAACAGATATCTCTCTGAGCAGGAATGCTTTCAAATTCAAGTAAAAAGTCCAATCGTCAGTGGCTTAAAAAAACGATTATTTTTCTATACAAAGCGAAGTCTGATGTTAGCAGTTCTTGTCATTCAATGCTCAACAATGTCATTGAGACTCACAACTGGGAGCTTTTTTTATTTTTGCCTATGTTTTCCATTCATAATCATGTTAGTTGCCTCATGGTCACAATAAGGCTACTGTAGCACAGTATCAGGTCTGAGTTCAAGGCAAAAAAGAGAATAGGAAGTGGAAGTATCAGCCACATTTGTCTCTTTTATCAGACAATCAAAAGCCATCCTAGAAATTCCCTATCACACTTACCCTAAAGTGTCATTGGACAGGTTGCAGCCAATCTGGCAAAGGACAGCAAGGTAGTTATGACTGACTTAGGCAAGTCGTGATCTATGGCCAGAGGCTGGATTATTATAAGAGAGACGGAAAATGAATATTGGGTGGGCAATTGAATGTATATTCCATATCATGCCACCCAATCCTATTCACCAAACCCATGCATTGCATTGGCTGGAGGAAAGGGAGCTATCACCTGTCTGGAGCTGATTTTCAGGCAGCCAGGACTCTCTCACTCCCTCATTTTCCTGTTTGATACCTCACATTTGTATAGTCATTGTAAGGCTACATTTCCAATAATTTTTGCATTAAGTCAGAAGTTGATGCTTTGTTATAGGGGAAAAAAAATGTAGGCAGTAGAAGAAGCGATACCAGGGAAAATCATTATGGGAATTTTATATTTTAATTGCTCTTTCTAGTGAAGGAAATGCTATAAACTGCTTCAACTCTCTAGGAATAAATTTTACAATTTATAGCAAGACAATCAGTTAGTAGCATCAGGAGATACATTTTCAGATCAGTGGTTACTAAATGGCAATAAAATATCAAGAAGTTAGTTCAAGTCTGTGCATATCAACCAGGCCTCAGGTTTAATGCCTTGGAAGACAATGTTAATAGTGGAAAGGTAGCAACTGGGAAAAACTGAGGCGATTCCTCCCACTCTCCCTTTAATACAAAAGTAGTTATGAATAGATCTCTATTAATTATATGAATTCAAAGACTAAGAGGCCTGTGAAAATACAATTTTTTTAAAAAACAAGATCACACATGATTCAACTTTTAGAAGAAATGCACACATTTGAAAAATAAAAATATTTGCTAGAGAATAAATTTATGTTACCATAAAATTCAAAAAATTTCACCTTTGTGAAATAAGAAATGAAGATGAGATGGGAAGCAAACATGGTGGATGAAAATAAATAATATATAAAAAGAAAAAAAAGAAACCGGATACAGATGGGAATAAGACACAGCAATTAAATTGTCAGCAGAATTCAAATTAGCATTAAAATTTTTAAAGCATTGCACATATTTAAATTTGAGTGAATTTGATGTTAAAAACTACAGACTAGC